AGGAAACTCAACTCTCTTAATCGACCAACTAAGGATGTCACAATAAACTAGGAAACCTAGCTCTCTTAATCAATCAACTAAGGATTGCCAAAACCAATACCTCGAAAGTTAATCCAGAATGGCAAAAAGCAACCAATCACTATCAAATCATGGCTCTAGTTCGATGTTTGAGGTTTGTCCTTAATTGACCTAGAAGGGGTTACCCAAATTGTCAAGGTGTGGGCTATGAGGGGATTTCCTCCTTCTAGGTCAATTTGACCCTACATTGAGATATAACAAACAACACCCAAGATTCATGAAAAATACCTCAAACATTATATTAATCATAAACCCAATACACAAAGAGTTCAACTCTTACAATCTAACACATCCTAGACTAGGGTAAGAAAAAACCATGGTGAGATGAATCTCTTCCTTCTAGTTGCTTGATTGACCCTTTGGTGAAGAAATCTTCAACCTTCTAGCCTTGGGTAAGCCAAAACCTTTTTCCTCCTCTCTTAGCTCGTCAATTTTTCTCTCTATTTGAAGAAGAAGACCCAATTCTCTCTCTAGAACTCCCCCGCTAAGTTCAGCTCTCTCTTCTTTATATACATCAGTCGGATAGTTATCACGCCCGTGATGTCGAATGCTTGCCTGTGATCTCCCTGCAAAATGTGTTGTTTCATTTAACAACATCACAGGATGATGTAGATTATCACGGTCGGGTGCCCGTGATGTCTGACTTGCCTGCGAGTCATCCGAAGTCTCCTGGAAGTAGTCCAACACCACGGCCAGAGCTCCATCTTCACGATCTACCGCCCGTAATAATGCTCTCGTGCATGTGATCTTCGTCTTTTACCCGTATATACCCGTCCAACTAGTGGCAAAATCTGTGAACCACGGATGTTTAACACAAAATTAAAAAAATACAAACCTAATTAATAGTGAGAAGGCATCATCATTTATCAGTATTTAAACCCAAATTGAACTATTAAAGAAAGTTAAAAGAGAAGCTACTGGCTACTGTCAAATAATGAGAAAAGGGGGATCGTCTATATAGGTATCATGTTTTTTAAATACTGATGTAATGTATATAATTGGTTATGTATAGTCTTCTTGTATGCGAGATGTAATGGGGATGTATTGGTTAGTGATGTCTTATAATTGTTTATGTATTGTCTATTTTATAGGAAAGTTTTGTTAATGGGTATTACGGGTACTCATATTACCCAAACGGGTAGTAACGGGTAACCCGCGGGTACCCAAGATGTAGTAATCATCGATCCCAAGTCCCATCTCGGGAAAAAATTTACGGGTATTTGGGTACCCGTAATCCTAAAAAAACGAGACGAGTATGGGTATACCCAAATACCCGTTTCCCGTTGTCCACCCCTAATCAACTTCTTAGGGCTTGTAGAGACTGATCTTCGGCACTCGTGATTATACGTAACAAAGAGGGATTTAGGGATCGGGATAAGGAATTAGAGATTTAGATAGAAGAACAGAAATGGGAAGGGTTGGGATAGAATGACCGGCGGCCTTGAGAGGGAGAGGACGAGATTTGAGAGGGTTTATGGGAGAGATTAGGGATAGATACTTTTCTTAATATTTTCCTTGCTTTTTTATGACGTAAATCCAAGTTACATATTTAAAGGGAAACCCCTACTAAATAACCTAATTCTACCCAAATACTACTAAACCGAATAATAATTATCCTACTATAAATAAATAGAGAAACCCACGGAAATTGGGTTTCTAACAATCTCCTCCCCTTGAAAACGACCTTGTCCTCAAGGTCGTAGTCAACTTTTGTCTTCTTGACCTTCCGCTTTCTTCGTTTCCAGTTGCGCTCTAGCTCGCGAAAGACTTCTTCCTTGGCATCCCCAACTTTCTTCAACTCTTCTCGAGCCACGTGACACATGTCACGTTCTTCATAGCCGAACAATTCTTACTCCTCTTTTTCGAAATACACAAAATAAGAATCGGAGAACTGTTCTTCCTTGTGCACACTCTCATCACGAACGTCGTTGAAATCTTCAATGTACTGCTTCATAAACTCCTCCGTGGTCTTGGTGGTGAAAGCCAAGTCTTTTGGGCTCCATCCTCCTCCAAGTGGGTCTGAATTAAACCCTCTTGGAAGCCCACATTCTAACCCAATAATCACACTTTCTTCCACCTTCAAATCTTGTCCCAAGCCTGGCCATTTGCCCTCAGTTGCTGCTAGACCTAACGATGACCCAAAATCTTCTTCTCGGCCCAAAACTATTGGGCCCATCGTCCATTTGGGCTTAGGGCTTGGCTCAGTAGGGTGAGCAGCCGCTACCCATGGCCTGATTCCAATTCGCTGCTGCTGGTCTCCGTGGAAAGGAAGGAGAAGCAGTTCGTGCGGGAGCAGGCCATCGCCGCCGCCGCCGGCTTCCTTCTTCCTCGACGCTTCTGGCTCCTCCGGCGAACAATTCCTCAGACGACGATCAGGCCAGCACGACCCCGCCATCATCTTCAGCGCCTCCCTCTTGTCGATTGGAGTCCCGCCGAAATTGGCGCCCCTCTTCTTCGATTCCATCTCTGGCTCGTTCCCCGGCGTCAAGCTCTTCGTCGCCTCAACCTCCGGTGACGAGATCGTCAGGCAACTGGGAGGAAAGCTTGCTGGCGACCTTACCTCGAGCTTCTCCTCATCTCCCGTCGGTGGTTTCTTCTTCGGCAGTTCCCAGTTCCGCCGACCCGACTCCGACATCGTCTGCAAACCCGCGACGGTCGAAGTCTCGATCTTCTTATCCAACTCGACCCCAGGCGTCGAGCTCTTCATCGTCTCCTCCTCGTCGGGTCCCGACTCCTTCTTCCTGAACAACCAATTCACCGCCCGATTCGGCTGCGTTCTTCTCCCCGCCGACTTGGTTAGCAGCGTCGTTGCTGCAGCTGTCTTCGACAACGACGGTGGAGCAAAGGCAGTCTCAAGCAACGCCGATCGGTCTTCTCTCAACGGTGGCTCGGCGGTGATCACCAACGACTGCGGCTGTTTGAAGACCTCGACGAATTGACATATTTCGTCGCCAGTGACTGGGGAGATCATCGTGGTTGTACTCGTCGAAGTCATCTGCTCCTTGGTCACACACCCAAAAGCAGCGACTACTGCTCTTTCTTGCTTTGGTGGCAGCGGCATGGATGAGGTAACGTGGAAATCATTGTTCCTCGTCGCCACTTCAAGTTTCAGCTTCAAATATGATGTGAGTTCTCTAAGTGAGATCTCGGAGTTGGCCTTAATCATGGTACGAGTGCCTGCAACCGGGCTCTGATACCACTGTAAGAAACCCAATTCTTAGGGCTTCTAGAGACTGATATTCGGCACTCGTGATTATACGTAACAAAGAGGGATTTAGGAATCGGGATAAGAAATTAGGGATTTAGATAGAATAATAGAAATGGGAAGAGTTGGGATAGAATGGCCGACGGCCTTGGGAGAGAGAGGACGAGATTTGAGAGGGTTTATGGGAGAGATTAGGGATAGATACTTTTCTTAATATTTTCCTTGTTTTTTATGACGTAAACCCAAGTTACATATTTATAGGGGAAATAAGGGAAACTCTACTAAATAATCTAATTCTACCCAAATACTACTAAACCGAATAATAATTATCCTACTATAAATAAATAGAGAAACCCACGGAAATTGGGTTTCTAACACATGTCTTATATATTTCAAATCAAATAGCTTCAGATTCATTACCAATAGTGTGGTAAAAAAGAATGCTCTCTATTGGGAAAAACTTAAAGGACATACTAAACTCTATGAAACATTTTCTTTCATCCTAAAGGTTGATTATGTATGTATTATGAGAAGCAACTATAATATTTATCTATATGATTTCATTAAGTAATGAATGACAATTAGTTATATTCTTTTTTTCATTTAATAATTATATGTAATGCTTATATTATATTTTTTTCTCTTTTCATGGAGGTCTAAACACATTATGCATAATTGGATCACTTTCAAAAATGTTATGCGCATAACTAAGATAGAAAACAATCATTTCATGCATTTCAAATCATCTATCATATCCATTATTATATACCATATTTCTCAACAAAATTCTTCTGTCCAACGGGTGGGGCACGGTACTAGTATGATAATTATGTTCAAATTCCCGAGTCATTTCGATGCCATACGTCATAAACATAACCACCCCCGATCAAAGAAACACAATAGCACAAGTGTACATGGGCGTTGGCCCGTGCTTGGGCCGACACGGCATGGGCACGCTTCGAGCCCATTTATTTTGTGTCGTGCTTGGCACGGCCCGTCTGTTTTCGTGTCGTGCCATACAAGCTCATTTGTCAACTTTGCTAGGCCCGCCCCAGGCCCGGGCACGCTTCGAATCGTGTCGTGCCTATTCGTGCTCGTGCCATGCTCGTATTCGTGTTTAATGAAAAAGATGAAAACAAAAGAGAGAATGAAAAAGAAGGTGAAAATTGAACGGGGAAGATAGTATTAACCAATAATGTTTGAGAAAAGTAACAAATAGGGGGGGGGGGAATTGAAAGTATAGCGAGTGTGATTTGGCTTTGTTTAATTCTTTGTCAACTTTTACTTATGTTAGTAATTACATATATATCTTTATGACACTTCTAACAACAACAAATAATATTTTTCTATTTGTGTTTTGTAATATTTGAACCTATAATTCTTTTTATATTTATTTCTATAAAATAAATATTATTTTCGTGCCATGTAAGTTCTTATACTCAATAAACTCTCGAAAATATTAGGCCCGACACGACCCACTTATATATCGTGTCGTGCCTGTGCTCGTGCCCATGAAGTTTAGACCCGACATGACCTATAAATTTATTTCATACCCATGATCGTGTCGTCCTATAACCATGTCGTGCTAGTCCGTGGGCGGCACGGCCCAGTGCGGCAGTGCCCACGTACAAGCACAACACACATCATGACGCCCGACTCAACCCAACCCAGACGAAACAAAATCCAACCCGTACCCGGTCCTAGAAAGGGCAAAATTCAACGGCCAAACACCCAACAAATCAACCACATTTCAGCTTTTCCAGTGCCAAACTGCCAGAGTGAGAGTGCCAGTGGCTACAAATATCTAGAGCGGCCAGGCTTGGTAGCTAGCCAGCCATGGAAGACGGACTGTGACTTTGATTCTCTCTCCCATCCTTGTCTCTTTCCGTCCTTTTCTTGTAACCATCTCTTCCGCCGGAGGATCAAACAAAAAAGAAAGAGAGAAACGCCTTTCCACTCGCCGCCTTCAATGGCGTCCCTCTCCAGCTTATGCTCTTCCTCTCCATCACTCAAGCCCAAGCCGGCCGCTTCTCTCCCCAAGACCGTTCTCAACCCTCCATTTCCCGGCAAGCCCACTTCCCTCTCATTCCCCATTCGCTCCTCCAAACCCCTCGATGTCGCCGCTCACTCCGTCGCCCGCGAGATCGCCGCCGACTCTTCCAAGTCCGGCGGGAACAGCGTCCCCGGGAAGCCGAAGAAAGGGCTCGAGAAAGATCCTCAGGCGCTGTGGAGGAGGTATGTTGACTGGCTGTATCAGCATAAGGACCTGGGGCTCTATCTGGATGTTAGCAGGATTGGCTTCACCGATGAATTCTTCCGAGAGATGGAGCCTCGGTTTCAGCAGTCGTTTGATGCCATGGAGGGTTTGGAGAAGGGCGCGATTGCCAATCCCGATGAAGGCAGGATGGTCGGCCATTATTGGCTGAGGAATTCGGAGCTCACTCCCACTCCCTTTCTGAAAACGCAGATTGAGAGCACGCTTGATTGCATTTGTACCTTCGCTGATGAAATCGTCAGCGGTAAGGTCAGTTTTGCTGTGGCAGACCAACCACTGGGTTCTATGCTTGTTTCTACTTTTTGGTCTCTGTTGCTGAATGTAGTAATTCATATCTCATGGCGATTCCGCCATTTCGTTGATGGTTATTGTGCATTACAGATTAAACCTCCAGCTTCGGAGGCTGGCCGGTTTACTCAAATAATGGCTGTGGGCATTGGGGGCTCGGCTCTTGGACCACAATTTGTTGCGGAGGCTTTGGCTCCAGATAACCCTCCTCTCAAAGTAATCTTATCTCCCCACCTAATGAATAATGGTTTTGAATTCTCTTTCTGGTTATAGGTTATAGTACTTACAGTGAGGCATTGGTTGAATTTGAGCTCTTTCTTTCTCAATCATGCAGATAAGGTTTATTGACAATACGGATCCAGCAGGAATCGATCATCAGGTCGCTCAGCTTGGCTCTGAATTAGCTTCTACCCTTGTGATAGTGACTTCTAAGGTTGGTATAGGATACAGTCAGATCTTGTTGGTTTTAAACTCTTCTGGTCCTTTTTTCCAGTTGTTCTTTGTGCATTACCTGCTGATTAAAGTGTAAGAAGGTCTCAATCATTCCCCTTGCAGAGTGGAGGCACTCCTGAAACTAGAAATGGTCTTCTTGAAGTACAGAAGGCTTTCCGTGAAGCTGGTCTTGATTTCGCAAAACAGGTTTTGACCTCAGGTTCTTCTTTCTGTTTATGATGTTTTTGCTAAGGCCATTACTTTTGGGACTCTCTCTCTCCCTCTTGTGTGAATCGTTACCCTTCAGGATAAACCATATGCAGCCTGATCACCTGCTTCATAAATGTCTTGGATCACTTTCTTTTAGCCTTGCATTCCTGCATGGAGAGATACTTCTGATTCTCCTGCGTATATGCATTTTTTTCCCCTTCCCTGTTCATTTTGGTCATATTGCTGAGTGATATTGTGGTGCAGGGTGTTGCCATAACGCAGGAAAATTCACTATTAGATAATACAGCTAGAATTGAAGGGTGGCTGGCTAGGTTCCCTATGTTTGACTGGGTTGGTGGCAGGACGTCTGTAATGTCTGCAGTTGGCCTACTGCCAGCAGCGCTTCAGGTACATCATATATGGTCATTATTATTAACATGGCTGTTGGTTATAATCATTTTGGTTTATCTTCTGTGCAGGGGATTGACATTAGAGAAATGCTTACTGGTGCAGCCCTAATGGATGAGGCAACTAGAAGCAGAGATGTAAGTATCAGATATCAGTTTATAGATCGCAAAGCTTGGTATCATTTTGGTCACATGATTGTTTCTTCTTTGTGGTTCATGTGTAGAATTACAGCTCTCATCGATTGTTTCTTCTTCTCAGCTTAGGAATAACCCAGCAGCTCTACTAGCTTTATGCTGGTATTGGGCCTCGGATGGGGTAGGATCCAAGGTATTAATCTCAAGCACAATCTAACTCTCTCTGGAGTTCCTTTATAATTTGAATGACCAATCACTAACTGGCTTTAATTTCTTCACATTAAATGACTCTGCAGGATATGGTTGTCCTTCCATACAAGGATAGTCTATTGCTATTTAGTCGGTATCTGCAGCAGCTGGTCATGGAATCTATCGGGAAGGAGTTTGACCTTGATGGTAATAGGGTATGAAGCTATGGACATAGTTATCCTTATATCACATTCTAGATGTTCTACTGCTTTTAACTTTAACTTGGAGATGCAATGCTTAGGTTGGGCTGTTGGTGACATAAAATTATGCATTTTAGAGGTTAATTTTATAAGTTATTTTTCCAGAATTTGGGCATGGCTTTTAATATATTTTCTTTGACTTGTTTATTTGTTGGATTTTTTAAATTGGACAAATCCTACTACATGGTTGTACACTTGAACAACATGGGACCTTTAAAGGTCATTAATTCAGTCACTAGTTTGACAGGTTCTGGCTTCCAATCATTCAATTGAAGTGTGTAAGTTAAGCAATGCAACAAAGGATGAACAAATTCAATTACAGTTCATCATGTTAGTTGAAATGGGCTTGATGTGTGAAGTGAAATCTTGTTATCTACGGAACCTTGTTCCTTATGTTAGGGGGAGTGTTTTGTTATACAGGACATGTTGCATTTGATTGTTTGCATGCTAACTATCCAATTCTTTAAAGGTGAATCAAGGACTTACAGTGTATGGAAATAAAGGGAGTACAGATCAGCATGCGTAAGTTTGAACTTCTCTTCTTTTCTCCCATTGTTAGTACTGGTCTTAGTTGTTGTCCCTTGTCCATATTAAATATGTCAGCGCCATATATACATGATCTGACGCATCTGCATTTTCAATCTTTTAGATACATTCAACAACTGAGAGAGGGTGTGCACAATTTCTTTGTGACCTTCATTGAAGTTCTGCGTGATAGGCCCCCTGGTCATGATTGGGAACTGGAACCAGGGGTTACTTGTGGTGACTATTTATTTGGAATGCTACAGGTCAAATACTCACTTAAGAAACAGCTATGGATGTGTGAGATGGAAGTTGATAGCTAATTGTCTGGACTTCTATGAAGATGGTAAAATTGATTTGAAATTATTGCAGGGAACTAGGTCAGCTCTATACGCTAATGACCGGGAATCTGTGTCGGTAACAGTACAAGAGGTGACACCAAGATCAGTAGGGGCTCTTATTGCACTCTATGAGCGAGCAGTAGGATTGTATGCCTCTCTAGTCAACATCAATGCCTACCATCAACCTGGTAAATTATAAATATATAACTGTCTTTTCCCCTCCAGTGATATGCTTTGGTGTGGACTTCATGAAAGAGGGTTGAGCGTTTTATGCCCATTCTGTCCATGCATTGAGTAGTCCAAGTCTATCATTCATCCACATTGACCATTTGTTTGTAATCTCAGGCGTGGAAGCTGGGAAAAAAGCAGCAGGAGAAGTATTAGCTCTTCAGAAGCGGGTTTTGGCAGTTCTGAACGAGGCAAGGTAGGAGAAGTCATATATGCATATCATCTGAAATATAATAAATGTCGAGAGCCCTTCGTCCTCTCATATTCATTTGTAAGGTAGTCTTTTGATTGCTGACACCAGTCTTGTTTTTGTTTTGTGTAGCTGTAAAGATCCTGTGGAGCCATTGACGCTTGAGGAAGTAGCTGACCGCTGCCATGCCCCAGAGGATGTATGTTCGGTTCAGAATACTACCCGTTCTTCCATTTTCCCAAGCAACAGAGTATTTGATTTCCCTTCGGCTGAACTTGTTCCCCTTTTTGTATTTTGCAGATCGAAATGATATACAAGATCATAGCCCATATGGCAGCAAACGACAGAGCACTGATTGCTGATGGCCACTGTGGATCGCCTCGCAGCATCAAAGTTTACCTGGGGGAGTGTAATGTTGATGCTTTATACTAAGAACGTACAGTTGAGCAATATTTCTTTAATTTACCAGTGTGGTCGACCTGAAAGTGTTGTGAATTTGCAACCAGAATAAGGTGCTGTGTTTTGAACACTTGTGCATGCACGCCAAAAAAAAAATGGAGCATTTTTCCATCTCTGCTTCTTTCATTTGTGTGGATAATGAATGATATTAACAATGAATTTCCACGTTCTCCTTTTGTTGTACATTTTTCGCTCAGCTGTTCTTTCATTTGTAGAGCAATGTTGGTGCTTTATTCTAATAATAACAATCTTTAGAACCTGATTTACAAATTTACACAACACTCGTTCTAGCCACATAAAATGGTAGTTACATTAGTTTGAGAGAGAATAGACATGACTTTCGAAAACACTTCATTTCTGACAAATTTTTGCTCCAGCCATCGTCTTTGCGCTTTCTTGAACCTCGGAGTTTTTGGACGAGTTTTGGTTTGTAACTGCTCCGAAGGCAGAGAATCCCTCTGTCAAGTTATGCTAGAGTTAGAATAATCTGGTTTTTCAAAAGGTTTTCAAGAAGAAAATCTTCGAAAAGTTAAAAAGGAATATCTTTGAGATATTTCTGGTTGGGACAAAAGGATGGAATATCCGCTATGCTAGAGTTAGAATAATCTTCCTTGCCAAGAATGGCGGATTTGGCGCCATTTGGGATTTCAGCAGGCTAAACATCCACAATTTTTGGGTTGTTCAAACTGGTCAACTTGTTCGGGGCATACCTCACTCATTCGACCTCCGAATCCACTTTCATTTGATCCCAGATACTAGTATTCCCATCCTTTATCATGCCATAATGAGCCTTCGCAATGCCGTTGCCGAAAAATATTCAAAAACCACCCAAAAACACATCTAGAGGCTATCAATCACACATTTCAGCAAATATCAAGCAAATCCTTATTAAATGGCTAAATGAGATGATAAAAACTGTTGTGTTTAACGTGCCATCAATTCCTTTCATAAATATTGAGAACATTATGATAAATCTATATCAATTTATATCAAAATGTTAATAATACAATTGCAACTCATTGTTAGATAGGGATGGCAACTTTGCCCATACCCATGGGTTTCTTACTATCCAATCCAATTGTGTTGGGTATGAAATCCAAATAGATGGATATGGGTAGAGTTTGATGGGTTTGTACCCATACCCATTTACTTTGGGTTGAGTTGGGTTTATATCAAATGGATTTGGGTTTGTACCCATGCCCAAATACAAATTACAGTTTGGTGCCCAAACTTAATAGATATGCATATTTAGTACCTAAATTTAATTTTTTTTATATAAGTCCTCAAAATATCGATGGGAAATTACATTTTGGTACCTAAATTTTTTTGGTCTTACATTTTGGTACCTAAACTTTTCAAGTTTTTACAAATAGGTCCAATTTTTGCATGTGTAGTTAAAACACCCTCAAGTAAATGGATATCCATATCCAACCCATACCCATTTAAATTATGGAAGCAATATTCATATCTTATCCAAACCCATCTATAAACCTCTAAATCCATATGCACTTCACCCATACCCAACCCATTATCAATGGGTCTACTTGGGTTTGGGTATAATTACCCATGGTGGGTAATTTACCTTCCCTATTGTTAGAGATGGCGAGCCTCCTTGGTGGTTGGAGATGTTGGAGTATGCGTGATCGCCGACAAGGAAAAGGCTCTCTCGCTGCGGCTCTCAATGTGAGCTCGCAAGAAAACTTCCCCACTTGTGCAGTTGTGCCCAAATCTCTCTCCCTCTTCACGGCTTCCAAATCATCGTTGGTTGCAAGTTTCTCGAGATGGGGTTTGATGAGAGAGCAGATCCTATGACTAAGGAGTGTTTAGTCACTTGACTAAACATCTCCTAATTCTTAGAACGCCATACAAATCTAACGATTAAAATATGGGAAGTGCTTTTTAATTAATGACAGAGATGATTTGGGTATTATGAAAAATTACGAAGTATATAAACCAGACTTACAAACATCACAAACAATACAAACAATACAAAGTAGAACGACAAAACATACAAACAGATTTACAATCAATATAAAACATACGAAGTATACAAAGTATACCGCCAAACAATACAAACCATACAAAATGAAAAAACAATCAGGTTGACTTTGGAGGCTCCGTCCCTATATAGAGGGTTTCCTCTCAAAGTCAACCCAGTTGTTTTTTCGACATACAAACATTACAAACATGGTGGACAAATATGACAAACTAGACCGACAAACCATACAAAATGGAAAAACAACCGGGTTGACTTTGGAGGCTCCATCTCTATATTATATAGATGAGTTTTCATCCAAAAGTCAACCAAGTTATTTTTTAAACATAAAAATATTACACACATGGTGGACAAAAATGACAAAGGTTACAACTTACAAACATAAAAGAAACCGACAAACAGTACGAAGCATACTAGCTGTACAAAATATCGCTACTTATGATACAAATTGACAAACTTTTATCACAAACCAATAAATACAAAGTATACAAATCATAACATAAAGTATATGAACTAGAAATACAAACATTGCAAATTACAATATATACAAATTAGTCATATAAATATTACAAACATAATAGACAAAAATGACAAACAAACATGATAAACAATACAAACCGAATTTATATAAACATTACAAGTTTACAACCCAGTATTACAAACATTACAAAATAGTCCGACAAATATCACAAATCAGCACTGCCGTTGGAAAATCCTCCTCCGTCGTCTCCGGTGGCAGGAACTGGGCAGAGCGACGGAAAATTCTAGTCAGCGAAGGCAGAATTGGGAAGGGACGACGGAGACCTGGATACTTTTTTTTATTTAAAATATAATAATTGAAAATTAAAAAAATCTGCAATTATCACATTATGCTTCATTAAATGAGATTAATTGGAATAATCAGATTTAATAAGGTTCAATGGTTGAGATTTGCTTAATCATGTGACAAAGGAACCCAGTAGTCACTTGATCTTACCCCATTTGAGGCTCAAGATAGGGTGCATAACCCTAAGGTGCATAACCCTAAGGTGCATAATTACGAGTAACCAAATTTGGACACTTCTTTTAAGTGGCTGCAGATCTAAGGGTGGAGAATTAAAAAAAATTATTTTTTCTAGTTTTCTTGATTGGATCATATCTTCTTCATTCTAACTCGGGTTTCCATTTTTTTTGCACAGATGAAACGAGTTTGTTGTGCTCTACAAAATGATATCCATTTTCAATATTTTTTGAGAATTTTTTTCATACCTCTCGTTACCAACTCCATACCATATGGTATATCCTTCGTTTTTTAGTCGTTTTCGAATTTTTTGCACAGAATGAACGATTTAATCATGATCTATTGGATTTCAAATTTTTCTGGGTGAAAAAATTTCATACCTCTTGTTACCAACTCTATACCATACTATATCACCCTGGTATGAGGTGGTATTCTTCATACCATATGTTATGCTGTTATGCATGAGGTTATAGCACCACAAGGTTACTCACCATATCTGCACCCCCAGTTGATGATCTAGACATATCGCCCAAATTTCCGTTGCGAAGAATCAGATAAATTGTGTTTAACTCTGTATCTATTGCTCGACATATGTGGAGCAGCAAAGAGGTGGTGTGTCTTCCTCACCGATGCAAGCCCATTCCTTATTTGGGTTTGTAAGGACATAACTGACTTTTGATTTCGGTAATTGAAAATTCAGATCAATAAACAGATTAGTTATTTTGCACAAATATCTCATACAAATTATATGACTGTTTAAGTGAGAAATTTGAACCCAAAACCTTCAGAAGAAAAAACCCCATTAAAACCGCCCCAATGAAATCCAGTTATACTTTGTTTAAGTGAGGAATTTGAACCAAATTCCTTACAAAACCCACATATAAAACTCTCATACAAACCATCCCTTAATGGAATCCAGTTAGGCGTAAAGGAAAGCGAATGACTGAACAAAATAAGAAAAGAAGCCGCAAAAAATTCAAATTAAAGTTTTTGGGTATGTGAAGATTAGATTAGTGCGGGTAAGTGGTAGTAACTAGTAACCCACCACGAGCCCTATTATCATCATTATCATTAACACTTTATTTGCTACTCCTCACTCGGACCTAAGCAGTTGTTTATTTTTCACTCGGATAGATATCCGATGATTGATACGGGTGGGTTGTGGATCAATAAATCTCATATTTGCATTTATTGGGTGGATGATGGATGGGTTGCGGGTCACCTAAATGACCCGCACCCCATCTTTACTGGGAAAATAGTTGTTTCTTATTTATATTAACAAATAGTTTTCGTATTTCTTAACCGACACTACACATTGACCATCGACTTTTAAAGGTGAAAAATAAAAAATATTTTTGGGCTACTACTATTGGTTACTATGTTGTGTATATAATCTCCATTGGATATTGAGATGCAGACTATAAATTATTAATTGTATCTAAGTGAGTAGAAACGTGAACTTTCTCTACATAATTGGTTGAAGAAGTAATGAAAGATTTTATATAAATACTAGACATATCCGTGCGTGACAAATTGGAGGGAGGTGTATAATTGATGCAGTCTTACTAATTCGCGAGGAATTTATTACAAATGTTAGTCAAATAGCCTAATTACACGCTAAAAAATTGCATTTGCATGTTAATCCACAACCCAATCACACTCATTTGTCACCTACTCAACCCAACCCAAAATAATATATGATGAATTGCGGGTCACAATTGTACCAACTTGTTAATAAGGGCATAATATTAGTTTAAAACCGAAACTCCCCAATTGCCCAACCCTAACTGCACTCTATCCCAATTCCGGATCTTTTTGGAAGACTATAGTTGATAAAAAAGTCTTGACACACACGTTTTATAAAAAAAAAAAAATCAATATGCACAAGTTGGTTAGATCGCTTTAGTTTTTTAATGATTTTAATGTAAGATTACTGAAATCCACAACGATTTAGCTTCATCAAAATCGATGTAACAAAATTGATGAACATCACAACATTCTAGCAACAAAAAATTGTGGGAGTCCTAGTGTTTTCCAGGTAATGTACGTGCAATATGTGGGTTTGGGGAAAAATCATCTACATCCCTACTTTTATATATTCAAATCTATACTCATATCCATATGGAGAAGATTTTGCAAACTCATCCACATACTTGTGGGTTTTGGCCTTTGGGTACCCATGGTTAACAATAGGGGTGGAAATCGATACAATATCGTTATTCCAATACCAAATA